CTCAGGGCTCAGGAACAAGGGAGAGAAGAAGTAAGGAGTAGAGTAAATGATTCGAAAATGAAAAGGGTGGTTTTGTGAAAAAGGAGAGAGAAAAAGCGGCAAAAAGGGGCGGGACTGTTCAAAAAGTTCGTGGTACGAGGGCGGCGTGATAACAGCTCACAGCCTATCAGAGCCCGCCACGTGTCATTGGGAAGTGAAGCGTTACAGTCAGTGATTGAAGAGACGTTTTTGACCGAACAAGTAGAGCCGGAGTGAAATAAGCTCGGCTGGAGAGGCTAAAACGATTTTTAGTTCGGCTGGAAAAGCTTGAAAACGTTAGCTCGGCTGGTCACCAAGTAATCCCAATCATGCTGCGCAGATGGAATTAAGGGGCAATTGAGAGGGTAATTTTCGGTGAAAAATTAGACCGAGCTATGAGATGGACTTTGTGGCCCAAAGCACGAAGGATTGGGTAAAAGAGGGCCGAAAAGTTACTCTGGCCAAGAAGGATAAAGTTATTCTGGTCGAAAGAGAAAGAAGTTACTTCGGCTTAGGAATTGTAAAATACTTCGGTCCGGAAACGGCTTGGAGTTATACCGGTCTTGGAATTATACCGGTCCAGAATCGTTGGTTCGGTCCAAACATACTATGGGTTGAATAGGAGAGAACCGAGGTAAGGAGGAGTAAAGGGAGAACCGAACCAAGGATAGTTCGGCTTACTCTGTGGCTCAGCATAGCCAGGTTTATCTCGGTCGTATGGTAGTTCGGCCATGTTGAAAACCATCCCACTTGGTTTAAGCAGTGGGGGGGGGATGTAAAAGGATAAGCATTATCCTTTAGGAGAATGAATCCTAGGAGGACTCTGCATGGAGAAATAAAAGTCCTACTAGGATTGTGCCACTCGAAACCTATAAAAGCTCACAAGCATCACCTTGGAGGAGGTAACATAACACAACATACAATTTTGCTTTCTGAACACATTGAGCTTTGTCTATTTGTCAAGTTTTCTGACTTAGGCATCGGAGAGGTTTCCAGCACACACCCGCCGGCTAGCTCACGTTTTTGTTTTCAGGTGACAAAATAATGTTGTTTAGAGGAGTGCAAACTTGATCAACAGGATCATACGAAAAGAATTATTTCGTTCGTCGTACGGAGGAGCGTGGACTTAGTCAACAGGATTATACGAGGAGAATTATTTCTTCCCCGTACAGGAAGGAAAGGAGAAAGAAAGAGAGAAAGGAAGGAAAGAAAGAAAAAATAATGGAAGTTAAAGAGGGTTTTTGATAGTAGAAAGAAAGAATAAGGTATTAAAGTTAAAGTGAGTTATATTATACCTTGAGTTATTATAATGTATTTTACGTATGTTTTGACTTACCATATTTATTTTATATAAGTTATATTTTATAAATTATTATAAACAATATTATTATTTTAGTTACGTGGATTGTTTTCTGAACTCTATTTGTTTGAAAGGAAACCCATGGATATGTTTGTTTATATTTTAAAGAATATTTGACTATGACTTTATATATAATTATGTTTTGTAAGTACCACCCCGGGAGTCCCACGCTTTGGGGAGCTTAAATAACCATCGGCTTCTGTTTGATCACTTTGTGGCCCTATGTTGTCATGGATCTATTAACCTCTGTTCTGTGTGGAGTAAAGTGCTGTGCGGAGATAAGTGCTACACTATTGTGGGAGCCACCTCTATAATCCGTACGAGTCACTTCTTGAATCCATTCCTCTGTATTGTTATGAATCCATTGACCTTCTGATTTCTGGTGTGGAGTAAAATGTTGTACGGAGCTAAGTGCTACACTATTGTGGAAGCCACCTCTAGAGTTCGTACAAGCCACCTCTTGAGTCCGTGATCTGTTCTGTTCTGTGTTGTGCAGAGATAAGTGCTACACTATTGTGGGAGCCACCTCTATAATTTGTACGAGCCACCTCTTGAATCCGTATCTCTGTTCTGATTGTCACTCCTGTGACCTCTGTTCTGTTCTGTTCTATACCGTGGTTATGGTTATTTATTTACATAATTTATGTATTTCAGTTTTTGCCACTTAAATGATTTGTTTACCAATGATTTATTTACCAAACTGAGTTATGTAAATGTTTTGGCCTAATTAACCATCCATGGTTATTTTGTGTCCCTTATATTCTTGGTTTAATATTTCTCACTCTACCAAATGCTTATAGTTGTTTACCAATTTTCAGGAAACAATGCAATTCAGAAATAGTTTTTGGAAAGTCTTAGATGCGGGACTGTGGAATAGACACACATAACACTTTTATGATATTTTCATATGTAAATATCGGCCTTTATGTTCAATAAATTTTGTAATAAAAATAGAAGCTCCGATGATTATTTTGATACCCTCATTTAAATATTACTTCCGCTCGCGCTTATTAATTTGTTTAAGAATTGGCCGGAGGTAACCTCAGTTACTGGCCATCACGATGCTTAACCCTTGGATACGGGGAGCAGGTCGTGATAAAATAAACCATGAGTTTTTAATTTTATTTATTTAAATTATAAACTTTTAATTTATTTTTAATTTAAACCATTTCTCTATTTCTATTACATAAATTTAATAAAAAAATGATATTTTAGACATTTTATATACACTTACAGTGAGTTTAATAATTAAAATAATTTTCTTTTGTCAGTTTTATTTTACGACAACAGACTGATGGTTTGGATTGAAAATAAATTAAAATATTATAATTTAAATGGACAGAATTTAAATTTTAAAATTTATTTTGTAAAAAGGTTCAATTTTTTTTTTCATGTAATTTTTTCATTACTTTTTAAAGGGGTCAAATTATTTTTATATTAGATTATTTTGATATAAAGAATGGTGAAGAGTCAAAAATGTGAAAGAATTAAAAATATAACGGTGGAGGAAAGATGATACTAACCTAGTGAGAACATGTTATTTTAGTAATTTTTTTTGACTTTTTAATTAAAGTATGAGGTAAAAAAAATTAAAATATTTAGGATGACTTTTTAGTTTTTTACGAAAAAATATGCAAAAAAATAAAGAGAAAAAGAAGTTTTTGACTTTTTAGTTTTTTTAATGATTTTTTGACTTTTATGCTAAAATATTGAGTTGCCAAACGAGAAAGCAGAGGGCAAAATAGTGAATTTCCCTTTAATAACATGGGATTGTTTTCAATGAGAGCTGCTATTAGTACCTATCTCTTTTCTTCGGCCCCCTATTTCTTTTAACCATCATTCAGCAAAATGAATCCTCTTTCTTTTCTCTTTGAACCCCTACCTTAATACCAATTATACCCTCCATCTTTTTTACCCTTAATTTTTTTTCCTGCAATTTTCCTACCACTTGCAATCCCACCTCTTCGAAGATCTTGCCTCCTATATTGAACTTTACTTTGTCTTTTTGAATTGCCATAATTAAACTCTCAGTAAAACTGGGCAGACCGAGATGGGAATTTCAAGTTGCAACACCAAGAACAAATGAAAACTGAATTCAAAACACACAGAAAAGAAAAGAAAAGAAACCTGGGATTTATGGAGAAATGAGGGTTTTAAGGAAGAAAATAATGATTGGTTTCCGGGAAAGTGAAAGGGATTTGTTGGGTTGACAAAGGAATTGATGAAAGTTAATGGATGGCTTGAAATTTTGAATTGAAGAAAGACTTACTAATAAAGAGGATCAATATATATATATATATACATATAAACAAAGACTTACTAATAAAGAGGATCAAAAAATATATATATATATATAAACAATTTGAGAGAGAGAGAGAGAGAGAGAATTGAAAGCTATAACCTCATGATAAGACAAGATTATGGAACAAACTAATAAAGGATTTGAGGTGTTCTTGTCGCAGAGAAACAAAAACAATTGGAAAAACATGGGAGAAATTGGATAAGATTTAGAGAAATTTGAGAGAAAGTGAGAGAAAATAAGATCTGGGTATTGAAGATTGAAGGGGTTTGGGAAGTGGGTATATATTCTTGTGTGATTTGGCAAAGGGGAATTAGAGAATTTTGAAGAGTGGTTGAATTTTTCAAAACACCAATCGATCGCCGGTGGAGATGGTGGTGAAAAGGTTAGTGGGTTAGGGTTTAGGAATTAGAGTTAGGGCTAGGGTTTGGAAAATTAGATTAGAATGTTAGGGATTTGGGTAAAAATGTAACTTCATGTTTGGACAAAATTGAAATTAAAAAAAATAAATGAGATGGGGTCTAAAGAAGAAAGGTAGGTGCTAATAGCAGTACTATTTTTCAATGCATGCGTTAGGATCCTCTAGAGTAATACCCTACAATCATCTCCTACAATGAAGGAGAGGCAGCCGACAGGTGTCCTACTCACCAACCAAGGGTTGATATTTAAACTCACCCAAACGACGTCGTTTTGGTGAGTAAATTAAAAAAAAAAATTCAAAATTCAAATTTCTAGGTTTCACTTATGGGAGGGAGGGAGGGAGAGAGAGAGAGAGAGAGAGAGAGAGAGAATAGGTTAGAGAGAGAGAGGAGGGAACAGATAAGAGAGTGATCCAAATAAATAAATGCGTGAATTTTGAGAATAATATGGTTATTTCACAGAATGATGTCTTTATGACATACTATTTAAGAGCTTGGACCTTTGGGTTAAGGAAATCCAAAATTGGATTTTATCGCTCGAGTGTTCTTAAAATTAAAATAATATATCACATCTTTTTTATTTTTTATTTTTAAACATGTTGAATTATTTAAATATATATAATAGTCTCTCTTATTTCTATTTTTTTTATTAGCAAAATTATAAGTAAAAAAAATGCTTTTTCTATTTAAATAAAATAAAAAGTAAATAAAATATATTTGAAATTTAGTATTATCATTGTAGACAATTCAAAATGACAACATGAGTTATTTTTCTTTATAATTTTCTAACTAAAATGAGATTCACATAATTTTGAATAAAATAGTCCAAAAATTATTATCCCAAATTAACAATTTGTTAGATTGCAATCTCCTAACTCTGTTGGTCCAGACAAACATATATAAGAGCTTGGAGTTGGGATTGGGACACACACTTGGGAAGCGCCCGCGAGAAAAAAACATGCGAGTCTGGAGTAAACAAGCATCCCGAGCGCTTTACAGCATCGTTGCGACTTCACCATCATCATTCGCTTCTTCATCTTCATCTTCATCTTGTTCTTTGATAGCAAGAGCCCTCACCACTTGGCGGCGATCACACCCTCTGATCCAATCTCCCCATCATGCATTCGGGGCCGTCCTCGAGTGTCCATGGTCCGCCACGCAGCTCCGCGGTGCCAAGTTCCGCGGCTCCGATGTCTCTCTCTCTCTCTCTCTCTCTCTCTCTCTGTATTTTGCAATGATGTGATGTGATGTGATGTGATGTGATATGATATAGTTACTTGTAATTAATAATTGCTCATTCTATGTGTTTGAGGTTTATGGAATGGAATGGAATTTCATAGTTCCATCCAATATCAATTTGATTTGCAATGACCCTTATTATGTGATGATTGCTGTATTCTTGATTTGTTTAGTGTTATTAATCATTTTCTCAATTTGCTCTACAGGTCAAACCCGGAAACGTCATTGAAAGAAAAGGTTTGCTTTTCATTTTCCTTCTACTTTTTATTTATGTATTTATTTATTATTGTTATTATTGGTAACGAGGGAGGGCATCTGGGGCTTTACTTCGATTACCCCCCTTCTAGTATCACGGCTATCCCTAAAATAGTTCCCCCAAGAAACTCTCCTTTTCTACACATTTTCACATTCATTTTTCTCATATATATACTTGTACTAACTGTAATGTTTTACACTTTTGTTATCTACGGGACTTGTCATCATACTTCAGGCAAAATTTATCAGGTACCTGATTTAGCATTTTCACATTTGTGTCTTGTTTTTTTTCCTTTCTTTTTGGGATAAATTTTCGTTATTTACCTGTATTCGTGGATATCTAGGTTGTAAAAGCACAGCACACAGTGCAAGGAAGGGGGGGTGCATGCATACAGGTTTGTTTACAAATTCCTTTAGGCTTAGTTTACCTCCAATCGGCATCTAATTTAGACTTGCAATACACATTTAATGTATGCTTTGGTATGTATTCTCTTGGGAATACTTTACAAGCATGTGCTATACCCTTTCTTTACTAAATCAATTGAATCAGTTGTTGTCAAGTTTGCAAAGTTTTAAAAAATTATAGGATTTGAAAGGATCTCCTTTGATAAATTTCACATCGAGTATGCTCTAAGTTAGAAGACAAATGTGTAGATGTTATACTTATATGATTATTTGAATTGACCTCATAAATAATTGAAATTCTCTTATAGAAACGTTGACTTCCTAGCCCAACTAAGAAATGGAAACAAACTTCTTATACTCACTGTACTAAGATATGGCTTTTAACAAAGTCAAACCAGAGAAAACAAAACATGTGGCTAACCCCAAGCAATTGGGTGGGACTTAGGCTTACTTGACTTCACATATACCAATTACTTTTGAAACAAAAAGGACATGAGTTAAAACTAGTGACTAGTAATAAATAGCTAGGTTTTTTTCTGTGTAATCAAAACCAAATTAATCAATAGTTGTGGTTTGCGGGTGATTGCAAATATTTGGGATTACCCTATAGGGTTGGTGTTAGATTTGCATAAAAGAAAGAAAAGGAAGAGAATTGTATATTATTCACACTCATAAACCTATTAGGGTTACACATACTTATAATAAAAGACTAAAGGAACAAAAGACATAACTATCCTTAACTACCCTTATACAATAATACTTAACA